GTAGGAGTCAAGTCTCTGCATTTTAGTTATTCTGGATTCATCTTTCATTTAAAAGCAAAACTAAAATTCACCTACGCTGAAACGAGGCCAGGAGAGGAACTGGTTCCACCCTGACAAACCTCACCGACACAGACAGGTCCACAAAGAGCACTGGATCCACATGATGAATATGCAGAGATGAAATTTGACTTCCCCTCTCCAGCAGCATTTGAAAGCAAGAATGGGTTTTCAGTTTGAGGCGCTGCCCTGAAGCAGCGAGTCAGCTGCGTGCAATACTGGCAAGCTGTTAGTCCATCTGCGTGTTTTACATCCCTCACCACGCAGACGTCAGGCATGCCCTGCAGACTTTCTGCCACATGAAGGTGCTGGCACTGGGATTATAGGATCAAGAGCTGGTCACCTTTTCCAGCATTTATCACCACATTATATACAAGGTAGTTATAATAAGTTTTCCAGAAGAACCTATAAACTATTACCAACTAAATTTAATCCTGAGCTGCACATTTAGTAAGAGGGGGAAAAACCCCAGAGTCCAACAACCTGTAAGACAGACAAGGAAACCAACTCCTAGTTCAAGCAAAAAGTTACAAACCTCTCATCTTCAGAGAGAAAAATGTCCTATTTTGCAACACAGAACCATGAAGAGAAAGAATGGATGGGATGCATCAACAATTGTCTTTCCTGAGGCAAAGACATTGCGTATTCTTTCTCCTCATACTTCATGCTCCTCCCCACCAAAGCAGACACCTACAGCACATTTTTACTTGGCATGTCCCATATTCCTCATCCGCACCCCACAGACGCGTTTTATCTTGGTCTCGTGCATCAGTCTCTTCCCATCCTGCTTTATCATTTCTATTCAACTCATTCCTTCCTCCATGTCCTGCTAAGGATTTGAGTCTATCCTCAATGGGTTGGTGATTTGCATCTCATCCACTCCTTCCACTTTTAGAGCCAACTCTTAGTACCTGGCTTGTCCATTTGGGAGCTATGGATTTTTTCTTATTTCAGGAAAGGGATAGATGCGCTGTATATTCACTCACCTTCAAAGCTATGGGGAAAAGGTTGATGGAACCAAGTAAGTGGTAGCAAAAGTCAACAGAGAGAATTCTCTGGAACTGGTTTTGTCTGGTAGGACAGAGGACCTTGAGTCTGCTGCTGTCAGCTGCTATCCACCCCCAGCAGCCAGGGTCAGGCAACCCAGATTCAGCAGACGCTCCAGAGTGAACACGGGTCTTACAGCAGCGTAATAGCACAAACAGGCTTCAATGCATCTGCCGTAATTACTTACATTTAAGCTTTACTTTACATCCGCAAACAAGCTAAGTGAGTATTTTGTATAAAAGCTGACTATGGGAGACCAAAGCTTCTCTGCAGATCCATACCCACCCCTCCCCAAGCAGAAGAGATCCAAATCCAATTAAGTCCCATGAATTTCTTCACAGTCTTTGCTGCTCAGTACTCCTAAATTCCCACTATGTAAGTGCGTGCAGCTATCTGCGTACCTGCAGGCAAGGTGCACAGGCTAGACTTCTGGGGTTTTGAGACTCCGGAGTCTGCTGTTGTCACTCAGCAGTCTCCCCTCTTCTTCAAAGCATTCGGCAGGCACAAAAATGGTACTTTCCAGTTTGATTATACTTATCAGTTTGACTTAGATATGTGATCTTCCCCCTCCTGACCTTAAAGTGGTCAGCACAGCCAGATGTTTTATGTAAGACACAGGCTGTCAGCTAGCTTCCTCTGATTTGCAAGCGTCTTTCTTTTGAAAAACACCCGAGACAGACGTCATCTTTCCCTGGCTTGGTGTTTGACCTTATTGTGCAAAATGATCGTCCTGTATATTGTGCTCAGCAATGTGATAATTAAAACAAAAATCAGGTCTACGCAGGATGGTTGCAAATTCTAGAAGGCTTCTTCCTTGTTCAATGTAAAACAAGGATGGGGAGGAGGCTATTTCAAGCGAAGATGTCAGAAGTTACACAGCACTGAAGCATGGAAAAAGCCTCAAAGCACTCTGGGACCAGCTCAGTGCTGCTGCACTTAGCTTTCAGCCTCACACACTGGGAAGACCAGAACTGAGCACCACAGGTACCCAAGTGCCATGGAAGGTGCACCGAGGCTGGCAGACTCATCCGGAGATCCAGCTAACTCTTCCTGAACAAGACGGAGAAGCACATGCAGGGGGGCTTCACAAGAGTTAGAGCAATGGCAGCAGTGCAGCCAGCCAGCCGTGTCCTTGGTTACCATACCATCATTACAAAGCTCATCAAAAAGCTTAGGGAAATTGTGTGGCATCTCATATGGGTTGGCATCTGTCGACTCTACCATTCTTCTGCCATCTTCCAAGTGCTCATAATTGATTGAGAGCCACGTAAAACTGAAGAGCTCCCATTAAACCTTACAAATCCTGCTCGAAGAGGACTTTTGTTTTGCACCTCACGTACCTGTCAGAAAGTGGTGAAGAAACTAGAGCTGCCTCTATGTCTGTCATCACTCTGCAGTCCGCCTAAACTTGGTGCTGTTTTTGAGGGAGAAATCATCAGGAAAATGATCACCACACCCAGGTTAACTATAGGCAGTCTAAAAAAACCCAGATCCTTCTCCAGAGCAGAAATAGCTCTGATTTAAAAAAAAAAAACAACCAAAAACAAAACAAAAAAACAACCAAACAAAAAAACCCAAATACCAGAAAACCCCAACAAGACACAAAAAAACACCCCCCACAAAACCACCAAAAAGCCACATGCCCCCTTTATCGGTGCATTTATAAATTAGTTGCTACGGAGTAGTTTTTAAAAGTTACATAGATTACAAATAACCACATAGTTTTCAAGAACCTTTATACATCATCTTTTTTAATTAGATTAGCTTTACAAGCAACTTGAGAGCTCTTTCATAATGAACACTGCTTTTCAAATTACACAACTTTATAGGCAACCTGTAAATGAATCTTGAACTTCTTTGCCTGCTATAGATAAAGGTCTCATATTTTACAGCCGGCTAACATCATGAATAAAAATAGCATTATGAAGCTTTATCTTTAACCAGGACTAGACACATACAGATCATAAGACAGTTTAAAAAATAGTTTTAAAACAAGGATCTGCTTGGTGATGCTCAAGACTGAATATTCAACCAACATGAAATGAACAGTTTCTAAAGGACATTGAAGAAATGGCTGACCTGATTTGTTGATCCTATTGTAATGACTTACATGGAGTGAAAAATTAAGCACTTTTTAAACCTGTCTGGCAAGTACAAACCTACAGTGTGATTAGAATTTGATACGCCATGTAACTGCAGAAGTTTGAATTATAGAGGGACTGAAATGAGTTTAAAGGCTTATGCTTCTAAAATAAAACCAACCAAACCTCTGTTAAAGTAGTACTTAAAGAAGATGAAGTAGAAGAGGTGGCTTTTTTGCTTGTTTCATTGGTAGCCTAAATGCACTGCAGACCAGACAGCAATGAAGATTTGCACTCCTTGGCCAGGCTGGCAGAGGCACTTACAGTAAAGGTATCCTATCTGTTTTTCTGGGAAGAAAAGAGGAAAGAGGAAGGGAACTGTAAAGGGCAAGAACTTACTAAAAAAAGGAAAAGCGAAATCAAAACAAAACTGGGATTTCTGTTGGTTCTCCTAAATGATATACCAATACTGAATTTTTTCCCCCTTCTGTCAGTTTGTTACTTAAACAATTAGCTTTTTCATGTTTTACATGAACAATACTAATCTTTTTAATAAAAAATTACTGAGCTTTCCATAGAAAAGGTCTCTAATTGAATACAAACTATACAGATGCTAAAATTGTCACAAGTTGTAATATATACAGAAATATTTCTGTACACTCACATTGTTTTGGCTAAGTAAGGAAATAAGGGACAGATAGAAAACTGCAGTGGGGAAGTTGATCAACCCCCAAACTCCTGTAAATATGAATGCTGTCTTTTATAGGTTTGCTTTTGTTTTCTCAAGCTTTTAAAGCTCAGAAAAAAAAAAAAAAAAAAGAAGAAAAAAAAAAATCAGTGTCCAAAACACCCATTTCTTAAAAATAAGAATATCAAAGTTTCTGCACATCTCACTTTTATTCTGTGATGTCCCCTCTCCTTGATAAAATGAAAACAATGTAAAAGAAAGTAAATGTTTTCTTACTAAATATATACCTCAGTATTGATCAAAGGGCAGTGCCTTTTTGGGGAAATCCTTCAGCACAGTAAAAACCTAAAGATGTATTGCACAAGGAGCCTACAGTGATGCACTTCAGCTTCAGTGTGCTGACCATCTCCTTGATACTATATAATAGCTCAAGGTGTCAACCTACAGACTGCATGGGACACCAACATTTGAAAAGGAAATTTAAAAAAAGTGAATTTTAGATAGTCTATTAACTTATATACAAAGGAAAGGGGGGTGGCAAGTATTCTCTAGAAAAGGGAGAAAGCTCAAAATTTTCTGTCAAGTACGCAAGGAGGTTCTGGGTACCTCTAATAGCCTAGGAAAGCCCTTGTATATTCTTGTAACTTGATGGCATTTACCAGGTCCCCAAAGCCAATGACAGCAACCGATAGTGTCAAGTTCACTTAGTGCCAGTCACTTAAAAAAAACCAAACCAAACCAAAACAAACAAACAAAAAAACAAACCAAAAAACAAAGAAGAGACAGAAACTTCCCCTCTGTGGATTCAACATACAAAACCACAAACTGAATGTTACTAATAGTGAGATACTGATTTGCTTCTGTTAATAAGGTTCAAGAGGACATAGTCAAAAAAACAATACAGCAGCAATCTTTAAAAGTTAAGATTAGTGTGAGATATGATATAAAACAATCAGGTTTTTAGCTGGTAATTAAAGTGCTCCTTTTCTGACTTAAGGTGTAAAGAAAATTAAAGTGATTATCAGTTACTGGCAACCCTTACATTAAATTAGGTCTTTCATGGCAGAGGAGAACAGTATGAACAGTTTTACAAAAATAGATCCATGTTATTTTGGAGAATACCGTAATTTTTTTCTTTCTTTTTTTTTTTTTTCAGTTTTTCTTCTTTTTTTTAAGACTCAATTTTGATAAACTGTACCTGGTCATACAAAAATTACCCAAAATTCAAACTTTTACCATATAAAAAAAGGGAGTGATGAATTGGATTCAGCTGGATGACAGGTCTGGCAAAATATAAGGATGGACAAATTCTATGTAGGGCACTTATTTATGTCCAGATGCATATGTTGTTTCTTACTGATTGCTTATCTTCTTCACATAAGCAGTCACAGGCCTGGAGTCACAATCACATAGTACAATGCTTCAGCAGTCAAAGAACCTTCTATTTGATGCAACATTGAAACACTGTTTGCTTCTTTATTAAAATGTTGGTTTGTTGTTGATTTTCCTTTATCTTGTTATTCACATTCAAAAGTTAATAGATAGCATCAAGATTTATCAGGGAGAATAGCAAGGGGAGTTGCTAAATCAAAGGCTTATAAAACGTCTTTCCCAACTGAGTCAGAAGGTTTATTAAGTTCAACCCTCACACCTTTTTCACCTGCAGAGACATGAAAAGGAAATCGGTATTATTTTTCAGCATTTATCAAACTCCAGTCTATAGAAGTGCTACATCACTTTCCAGATTAGTTTTAAGAGAGTACTTCGAAGATTGCCTAGTACATATGATCTAGCAAGACAGATATTTTTGTATACATGCTCTGTATCCCGTGCTCTGTAAAGTTAACGAGCCGTGGTTACTCATCGTCTCTGAAAGTGGGCATGTATTTGGCTGCGCAAGTAGAAAACTGGACACTTCACATCATACGTGCAATTCTGAAGCTCATCATCTCAGCCTTTACAAGGGTAAGCTTTAAGAACGGCCAGTTGAGAATCTGAGGGTACTGTCCATTACCCTGTATCAGAATACCTGGAGTTTCTGGGTATTCACCTTTGTAAAGAAGCTCTGAGGGATTTTTAAAATGCAACATTCCATTTGACTTACTGCTAAAAAGTAAACAAAACAAAACTACCAACCAATCCACCCCTCTTCCATCCTTTTTTTCTAAAAATTGACCTAGGTAACTTCAGGTACCCCCAAAGGAAAGTTTGACTATCAAAACATTAATGGACACAGTATCCCATATTCAAGAAAAATTCACGCATATTCCGCATGGCTTTAGTTAGACTGACACTAAGCCAAAAAATGAATAGTTTTCTGGTTTATGACATTTTAGTCTATATTGTCAGTAGAAAATAAAAAGCATCTTGCACAATTCTTGCTGCAGATACAGAGCAAAGAATGCAATTTTAATTGCAAACGAAAACTGAAAGCACAACAATATGATAATATAAATCAATTACAGGGCAAACCAACACTGACATTTAAAGAACACCTCCAACCCAGCCTTCTTTCCTCAAGTACCTGCAGTTTAGGGGGACCCGGGGCAGGGGGGGCACCTCCCCTGCAGACACGAGCCCACCCGAACCACTTCCCTGCACTCTCTCTGAAAGGGCAGCAGCTGAAGCTGCGTGGAGACAACTGAAGCAGCTCTGATCTGGCAAGGCTGGCCCCAGGAGGTGCATGGTCACACGCGTGTGACACGAAGGAAGCCTGGCTTACGGGACAGGCAGGCTCCCTGCGGAGACCAGGTGGGCATTATGCGGCATGCCTGACCGCCTGGGAAGTCACCATGCCTCGCCAGGCATGCACTGCTGAGCAGCGGGACAGCCTGCCCGGCCAGAGCTGAAGGACTCCCCGCGTTTCTTTGCAAGCCAGGCAGGAGCTGCGTTGCTCTTACCGCTCCCGAAATGTACAAAGTCACTGGCTGCACCAAGGGGGACTGAACTAAACTGCAGCCACTAGATAGCTCTGGGGCTTCTTACGAGCTTCAGACGCCTAACAGCAATGAATGGAAATCTCATTTGGAAATGACTGGCACATGTCTTCAACATCATCGGTTTCAGAGCTCTTGACAAAATCGTGCAGAAACTGGCCCTATGCCTCTGTGCACTTGTGGTACACCTGATTTTGGTTTATTTTTAAACTACTGAAACAAACACAAAATTGTGATGGCAATTACAAGCATGACAGAAGTCCTAGGCCATTTCTCCTTATAATGCTAATTTGAACAGGAAAATTAGATCAACTTCCTCTTGAGGGAGAAGCCAGAAAAGGAAAACAGATGCTAGATATGTGGAATTGGAAATGGAGGAAGTAACTCCATTCTTCGATTCCAGATTTTAATTTTAGGCTTTTGTTTTTCTAATATACAGATTCTGGTCCAGTTAAGTTGTATTCACTTGTTGAGTCACTATATTCAATCAAAACTCTTTCCAGGGCTCTCAGTTCTGCGGTGCCTCACAGCCTCTGGTGTATTTATCCTCCACACCTATTAGGGAGACAAGACTAGGGAGAAGCTGTATCCCCATATGAAAATACCGAGCAGCCTCAAGTCTCAGAGGAAGCATGAGCAGGAGAAGGCACTGACCTGGATTTCCCAAGTCACTGCCTAGCAGCTGAACCACTGGGTCACCTTCCCTGTAAAACCCGACTCTGTGAGTTACACTGTTTTTCTCCCCCTCTTTGTGCACGGGGTGGGCCAAGGAGATGAGGGTGGACTACTTAGCTATTCTTCAAGAAAAAAAGAACACAGAAGATACTAACAAGAGATTACCTGTTAGATATTTTACTTTAGCTCGTGCTCTTTCATCTGCATCAAAATACCACACTGTTATTGCGTACCTAGGGAAACAGATGGAAAAAGAACTCCTGAACTATGAAGAAAAAAAAAACAAACAGTGAAGCACTTGACATAAAACACAATCTAAATGAGATGACGCTTCTGCAGTCTGACAGATGAAAGATTTCATAAAGCACAAAGCACGCAGGTTTTTTTTCTGTTAGTTGGTATTGTCTGAACAGTCATTGAAAGGGTGACACTGATGATATAAGTTTACACTTCTTTGTCCTGATGCGTTGCTATTACAGTTCTTGCCCAGAACCTGTAATATAGCCTCTGTCTCACCTCGCCATGTGACCTCATCTTTTACTTTACTAGGTCAAGTCCATCACTGAGTCACACTGCAAGAACCTCTTTTTTTGAACACTGGCCATAAGGGAAAATTAACTACCCCTTCTTACACAGCTCCTCTGGTTTTCCACTGCCCACAGAGGATTTAAATATGAAATGCCAGCTATTGAGAAAAGACTTTAAGGAGCTTTAGTAAATGGCATTTCACCCTCTGGCTGCTCGGAGCACAAAGCGGGAGGGGAGGGCGGTACAGCCTCCCAAAATTCTGCAAGAGGACGTGCAGATGGCAGTTTCAAGTTACTTCTTGCAAAGGTACTTGTGTTATCTTACAGCTCCAGTCAATGTTCAGTGCTCTGGCCCTGCAAACCTGTTGCGACATGGGCAACAGGAAGCCTGGATCAAGGACTCCAGTGATTTACCTATTAACGCTATCTGGAAACACCACTGGGAATGTGGGGGCGGTGAATGCAGGACCTTTAGCATCATCCCCTGCCCTACTCTGAGGGACAAAGGAGATATCAGGTTCCCCCTGTGACTCAGACTGGGAGCAACTCCTCTAATACTCCAGAGGAAGAAAAGATTTGTGTATCAATGGTCGTTTCTGCCCCACAGCCCTCTCCCAATTCCCAAACTAGAATGTGGTGGCTTAGTTTGAAAATGACTATTTTCTAACAGCTCTCTCCCAACGAGAGGGGACATAAAACTGGAGCACCTAGTCAATCCTCCAGTAACACAGTAAGGTGCTGAGGACAAAGGGAAGGGAGGAGAGTGTAAAGCCTCTTATTACAGAGAAATAAGGAAGACAACACCCCTTGGCTAAGGTGGGGTCTGCTTATGGCTCTGTGTGCTCCTACCCAGTTCTGCCAAGTACACGCTCAGAAACTTCTGGTGTTTCCAGCCCTCCCTCCTACCCAGCCAAGAGGATGTCTTCTCCAAAATAAGAGATCAGACATTGGTACAAACTCATCAGCACAGCAGAAGCCTAATCAATCAATAGATAAAAAAACCCTTCTCATCATAGTGCCACTGGAACTGTACATGGAAAGACCCGGGATCAGGTCATAATTCACAGTGTCACTTATTTCTCATTAGGATTTGCTCATTTCTTGGTAAGAGAAGCATCGTGCAATATATAGAGAGTCCATCAGTCCTACCTTGTAGCAAATGCTGGCTGTACTTCATGAGGGTTGCGGCGATCAGACCAGAAGAATAGCAGTCTATCGAATTTGGGTTCAATATCAGCGAATTGGGCTTTACCTTCTGGAAATATCCGAAGGATGCCTCCACTTACCTACAAATTAAATATTTAAAACCAGTGCTTGAAAACAATGTCTCATTGTATTTAAAAGTACTGAATATCACATTTGAAAATATTTCAGACACTTGGAACTGAAATAAAAGCCCTTATCAGATGCTACAGAAATTATGAATCTACGCCTTTTCTGTCGATACGTTTCATTTAACAAAACGTTTTACGCGTTTGTCACTGAGTAATTTCAGAATGCTCGCAAATATTAAACCTCCATTCATGTTTAAGTAAAAAGCTGTGGGTTTAGATTGGTGGTTTTTTAGCTGCATTACCTACTCACAAAAAATGGACAAGACTGACTGGTATTACACAAGTGGCTAAAAATATGCCAATATAGATGAGAGAAACATTGTATTTCACACCTCAGTTTCACCTTTTCCCATTAAAGAGATTGCTTCATTTCAAAGCAGCACAAGTTTACATCACGTTGCTGTAATTAAGGTGAGGAAAGACTAGGAAACTTCAAACTAAAGCTTGAATCTGTATTACTCCTGGTCAATTCAGATCTCTTCCAGGCTCTGAAAAACAGTTGGACCTACCTATGCATGCCTAGAAAAAAGCACAGGTAGGTAGGGTTAATTCTTTCTAAGTCACTAGGTGGGGTTAATTATTTTTAAGTCATGTTAGCGTCTTCCTACTGATGGTATTGATGTTGTTAAATCTAACTATAGATAGCCACTGTAGGCCTTCATGGGAAAGTCATAACAGTACAAGTACTAACAAGGTAAATTGATGTAAATTACTTTTTTAATTGTGATCTAAATCAGCGAACAAGAAGTGACAATTTAGATCAATTTGTTCTGCTAAAGAAAATTGGAGCTGCTTTCTTTGCTAACCAATATACTTGGTAATATATTAATTTGTAATTTAAAATAGATTTTGCAGGAAATCAAATGCCTTTGTTCATAAATTAAATATCCAGCTAGTAAATTTTTTACAGTTATTGTGAAAATGCAATTTGCTTGACTTCTACACTCTAGCATGCATTCAGTTTTTTCCAGGAGAGAAGCCATAATCAACTAAAAATGCCCCAGAGCTGCATTTTAAGATGTTCAATCCAACCAGTGCACTTATAGGCGAAGATGCTATCATGGCAAGAAAGGCTAGTAATTTATTTTCTAATAGAAGGATCAAATTTGGCATTTCAAAGAGCAAGTGAGAAACAAAAAAGCTTCAAGTGCATTCATTTCTGACTCAGCTTTCTGATCTACCAGTTCTACAGGAGTATGTTATCAGTCTCACTGTCTCATCCAGCTCTTAGAAGAAATGGACAACATTCATCCAGCTCTTATAAGAAATGGACAGCACTCAAGAAAAGAAAGGGAGAAAAAAACCAACCAAACAAAAAAAACCCAAAAACCGAAACAACTCTCAGCTGCAACCTGTGTTATCCATATCTGGTGCACCCAATTCACAGAAACTGACTGCTTACGTGCTCTTCCGCATGCTGCTTCCTAAGTACGATAGAAGTATCAGTAGTTTTATCTTTTTTTCCATATACAATGCGAATAAACTTCTCCATAGCTAACTGCACAGCAATCAAGGAATAAACAAAGCTATCTTTGCATTACTCTCATGTGATTTCAACACAGCCAGTTAGCTACGTCCATTCTTTAAATCCACCTAATCCCACTGAATTACTAGTAAAATCCTGATTAAAAAGTTACTTTATCATAGTCACTACATCTATGGAGAGTTTTGAGTCACTGGTAGTAAATTCTTAGACCACTTGAACTGTGTTATAAATTCTTACCTATTCTACATCCTGTACCTACAATGATACAAAGACTTGTGCTGCTTTGAACTATACTGACACAGCAATAATCATAACACTTGGCTTATTTGAAACTGCTCCCAAGCTGCAGCATCTTTCTTTTTATAAGCATACTCAATTAAGTAATCTAGTTGCACAAACTGTAAACTCAAGATTCAACAGGAATATGAGGAGAAATAAACTAAAAGCAATTATCTTACAAATATTCTTTATTTACTCTTTGTGTGTGTGTGTGCAGGGGTGTTTACCATACAAATAATGTACAATAAGTTGCATAATTAGATATTTATGAAACTTGGATAATAGCAGATACTTATATGTACAGTTAAGAAACATATACCAAAAACATGCAACTTTCCTTCAATCTCACTGTCAAAGAGGTCCTGCTGGCATCATTCAAAACCTTGAAAATAAATGCCCTCATCTCTATCCGCTCCCACTAACAGCAGAGCCGGGGGGACAGGATACCCACAGTTAACATAATGTAAGAACACAACTAAGGCACAGAAAAAAGGACATGAACAACGACCTGTAGCAAAGGTGCATTAGCAAGCATACGTAGAAAAAAAAAGTTGTAGAAAATAAATTATTGCATACCTTGGCATCCCAGTCTTTATTAAGATAATATATACATGTAACACATCTTCCATCTCCATTTGGATTATCAACATGGCGCACGTATCCCGTTCCATTGCCTGGATAACAAGCCACCATAGCCTAGAGTCAAAGAATCAAACACGATAATTAATTTTATCTGTGTGTGGGGAAAAAGCCGACGTTTTATCTCTATTAATTCCTAAGTAAATCATACATAAGCAACATAAAAATTAAGTTAGAAATAATGGGAAAATAATTTCTTAATCTGTGTTTTCTTTCTAGTTAAAAACTGGTTTTGAACACAAACAGATGTCTACAACAAAGACATGAAAGACATTGACAGGAACACTCTCAATTAAGGTATGGAAGGTGGGGCTGCTCCCATGTTGTGACTAATCCTTCAGACTTCCCTCCCTTGAATGAAATACAAGGGAGGAAAAATGTCTTGTGTATAATTACATAGCATGTGCTTCTCCTTGTGATAAGAATACTCGCTTTCCAGTCTCAAGTTCACAGACAGCTATCTTGACTTTTTTTTTTTTTTCCTTCTGTGTGAGAATTCCTCCTCAAAAAGTAGCATCAAACCTTATTTTTAGGCCACTTTTTAGACAAGACCATTAGCCCATCTTACTCAATCACTCCAAGTGCATTCTTGGGCTTGTGTTTTGTCCTGTACATAGGAGGTCTTTGAACCTTTGTTGAAACAAGCCTACACATGTACAACAAAAACATCCTTTTTAGTCAAGAAGTGAGAAACTGAAAACCGACACCGAACAGTAATCTGCAATAACCTTCTGACATCAAACGATTCCCAGTACAGTAGTATGTTTAACTTCCCATGCTGCATTGAGCTCAGCTGACTTGAAAGACCCCTAGAAGGTGGCTTGGTCTCTGAGTCTTCAGACACGCGGATGTGCGTGTGAAACAAACCGGCCATCTTGCTAACAGATGGCCTGATGAGCTTGATTAGCTATCAGTTCCCATGGCCAGCTTGGTGTACGGCACATCCCCATATCTTGATGCGTTTGCTGGAAATAGTAATCATTTCAGGTTTTTGAAAGAGATCAGAACAAAGTTTTCCAGGCCAAGTCATCCGCTGCCACCACAGTACTCAGACGTCTGCAGTGACAATATCCTATCTGCAAAAAGTTGTAATATGGATTTAAAAGAAAAGCAAAAAAGTGAGTTTCTACCAACAATCTGATACACTACTAACCTCAGTGAATGTCTGCTGTCTAAAAAATACCCAAAACTTTTAAATGCAATCATTCCTGTCTAGATTTAGCCTGGTTAAATTAGAATTTGAAGTCAGACCTCTGGATCGCAAACTCTTTCACCTTTCTTACGTCAAATATTAAAAACAGTTTTCCCAATAAATTGTTAACTGTGAAATGTAAGCCATCAGATTAAAAGTATTTCACATCAACAGTTTCAGTCCATTTTTTGCTTCATACTGATAACTTTAACTTTTCCCCCCTTTTGAAAATGTTAACAAATAAAGCTTCTCACAGTTTGCATTACTTGCAAGAAACTGTGCTTTGAGCAGGCTGAGAGATAGTTTACAGTAAATCAAGTTTACAGTTCAATCAGTAAAATATTTGTATATCACATGTAAGCAGAATGGATTTCACTAGAGCAGCAAACATTTTAAAATCTTTGTTTCCATATATATTCTAATAAGGGAAGAAGCAATTTTTTGGTAACTCCTTCTAGGCAGAAATGAGAACATAGTATTTGCCAAATAGTAGCACCACGGTTATAAAAAAACCTAATAATTAAGCCAACTTCATTCACATGAGATGAAAGTAACTACACTGCGTGAAAAGTACGCAAAACTACAAAATTCAAATACACTTGTAATTTTGAGATTAAGCACTTCAGCTTCTCAATCCCTTTACTGTAATCATAGTGTAGTCATCATTACAGATCTCACATTATGTAAACATATTACATGTATAAAGTAACATGACCGAATATTTGCCAAATCAGTTTTGCTGCAGGAAGATAAACCCACAAAAATCAAAACAGTGAGTTAAAGATACCAAATAATGTAATAAGGGTTCTGTAATTTCCTCTCTTATGGTGAAAAAAGGAACGAAACAAAAGCGAAGCTGGGCTGGAAGAGGAAGATAATGTTTCCACTGAAAGCCAACCCTCTTGAAAAAAAGTCCCACGTGCCACATAAACTCTATCAAGCTCTCATGGAGCAAGAACAGTGCTGAAAGCAGATGCAGGTCCAATCCTACTAACAAGGAAGTTTTAATTTAAGGGGTTTTGCCGATAAGTATCATGTAAATTAAACCCTGACATTAATTGTTGCTCAATATCTGCATGAAACAGCTACTAAAACTCATTCAGAATGAAGAAAACATTGACATCGAGTAGCTAGAGCAATGTCAATTATTACTGAAATCACGAGGAGTTAGACTCAGATATGAAAACGTCTTCACACACGTAAATAACCTGAATATCTGTCACTGAGCTAAAAAAGATAGTGTTAAAAGTTTAGGACAGTTCCCAGGTCTCTCTGGCCAATACAGGGTTTTTTTCAAAGGCACACTTGGTTGCCATCTGTTCCTCAAAAAGATAATTGTGCAGTTAGAGAAGCATAAATTTGCATCCAATTGCTATAGTTTCCTTTATAAGATACTGAAATGGGTACTTGTTCTCTTTGCTGAAGGGGAATCAAGAAAGGAATCTTTATCATCAACGTTGCTGGGGAAAGAAAAAAAGATGACCAGCAGCACTTTTTGGAAAGTCTGGAGAAACACCAGTTGTCATCAACTTCACATAAAGAGCAGCCATATTCAGTGTCAGAAGCGTTTCATACAGCCATTTGAGTCTAAAATACTGCCAATGTTTAAAAAAAGCCCTTGTTTTTGACTTTAGAGGCTGAAACTTCTGCTATCATCAACTGCAAGAGACGAGAAACAGTTTTGCTGCGATAACTTATCTAATATGTATTTGTTATAACAGTAAGAATGACTCAGCCTTTAGCGGCAAATTGGAAAGCAAACAAATTCGCGAATCGGCCAGTGTAGCATAATATACCGTGTTTTTGCCAGTTAGTGTCACAATTCCCTCTCCCCAGTTGAACTACGATAAGGAAAGTCACAAAGCTCAACAACTTACAGGGCATAGGAAATATACTGCTTTGCGAAACAACATGGAGTGAGTTCGTGTCAAACTGTCATGCACTGCAAGACTACCCACATGGAAAGGACAAAAAAGTAACCCAGGTAAATAATGAAGTCACGTACTTCTGTTGGTTGTTAACATTTTACAGTATAAATAAGCAAGCAAATACATGTATGCCAAGCAGAGAGAAAATGTGGGGTTTGTGGCTTTTTTTTTTTTTTTTTAAAAACACTGTTAGAAGTTGTTAGCTCTCCAAAACGAAGAGCTACCTGTCTCATCAGTTCTCCCATAAAAGTCATCAATGAAGTCAACTTAAGGCATTACTTGCATTTTAATAGACAAGGCGATCTCCCCTTCCGTGCTTCTTGGGCATGACAATGTTTAAGCATTCAGTAATCTTAATTTCTGCAAGGAATATATTGAACTCACACACTGGATTTGCTCACCCACTGGATTCCCTTTGCAAACACTTTTAAGATGAACCTCCTCTAACTCAGCAGCCTTCTCTCTTAGTCCGAGCACTCATGGCGAGCACAGGAGCTCTGTCCTAAGATACCCTCTGGAATTCGCGAGTAATCGAGAAGGCATGAAAGCGCCCTCACCACTCTGCAATCCGCCCAGCTTGGGTCTATCAAACCGAAGGACTCGCACACTTAAGAAGCTGCTGATCGCTCATTCACATACAGATGTTCTACTTGCAAACGTTTAACTCTGGAAAATTAACTTTAGGCCATCAGCCCAAACGAGCAACATTAAGTTGTTAACAGAAGAACTAACTGAAACCACAGATTTTTTTGCTAAGCATCGGCATCCTTAGAGCGTCAGCCATTACTCTAATTAACAATTAAATGCACGAAGGAAACATCAGAGGGAATAATCCATAGTCCATAGGGTTTTGTTCGCTATGTAAAGAGGCATCAGCTAAGACACCCAACCCTGGGAGCACACCACAGCAGCGTTTTATTTGGGAGTAGCCTCCACCTCCTTTCACAGAGGAGAATGACAGCCTCACCCATATCTAAAGGAAGACTTGCAGGTAAACAGACTGAAGCTTTTTCCTCTATCTTTTCCATTCCTCTCACAGCTGGATACCCGCAAGTTTAGGTGTTGTTCCTTAAAAAAAAAAAAAAAAGGAAGCAATAATAGCAAACTCTTAGGCAAGAGGGGAAAATACCAGCTATGTGACAACGTAAAATTCCTTAAGAGAGAAAAAAACCCCAAACCACAAACATAAAATGGAGAGAGGACATGTGTTCTGTCATATTAATTTATTAATGTAAAATAACTTTATTGTTTAGCTCTGATTAAAGAAAGCTGCATCAGTCAAGGAGATGTCACTTTTGCTGTTTGCTGAAGGAACTGCAAATCTCAGTGAGCAAAACAAGATGTCTAAACGCAAGACCGATGACTTCCTACCAAAATTTATCAGATGCTCTCACAAAGACTTCACTGGAAATCCTTAGCATGGGTCATCTGACAGATTATTCAAAGAAAGAAAGAAAAAAAAAAAACCCCACACACACACTGCTGGAATGAAGAACCAAAGAAAAGGAAAAAAAAAAAATCTGACCTGTCCCTGTTTGGTTCGTCTGTGATGTACTTCAATAATTTGTTCATCCCTGACAAACAACAGTCCTGAGGAAATACGTTTCAGTTTAAGCACATGTCAGCCTAAGGTTTCTCACAAGGTGTACAAAATAACAATCAAACTGAAGGGAAAAAAGACTGCACTGGTACTACCTGGTGTGAGCAGTGTCAAGATTACTGACAAACATGCTAACGTGGTAAAACTTGGCTTGGATTCATAACTTCTCCTGCAAATTCTTCACAAGCAGAGACAGAAACTTGCAACAGAAAGAAAAATATCAACGGGGAGAAACTCCTGTCAGCCTTATGCAAAACAGAGGAAGTTGAAAGGGGTAAAATAAACTCTTTAGGACACAGCTAATCCATGTATTTCCCTACTAACTTTCATCTGAGTA